GCGAGTTTGTTTAATTAGGTTCGATTCGATTTAAGTTTTTTTTTTTTTTGGGGAGGGAATGGGTGATGTGTCAGAATTTGATTATTTCCATCTTCTTATTTGTAAATAAGGTAATTTTTATTCGCTCCATACATACAATATTCTGACGATTTGAATTTGAAAAAGAGAATAATGAATTCCAGGATTGATTTTGTAATTAAAGGGTTAAAAAGAGGATCGTGGTTATTATTCTTTTTTTTTTTTTTTTAATAAATATAATTTATATAACATATTTCAAATAATTCCAAATGTATCTAACCTTTTATTCTTTTCAACGTGTATTTCAATCATTCGAAAAAGTTTTACAATATTAATGGAATAAAAGTCAAACGTGGGACAAAGATATATAAATATTCATTTATGGAAAGTTGAAACTATAACGAATATAAAAAGGTATGGAAAAATAAAATATTTTTACTTCGGTATCACTTTATCATCTTTTTCCATGACAATGCTCTTTCAATTAAGCTGTCAAAAATGATTTTTATTCGTTAATTATAAGAAAATTTATTATTTGTATTAATTGTACTGATTTTTATATCTTTAATAAATATTTTACTGACGTATAAATTATCAAAAATTTGTTAATATTATTAGTAAGTATTCCTATACGTTGACAAAATGGAAAAATTATAAGGATAATTGTTCAATTAATAATTATACAATACCTTTCCTTGAAAGATAATATTTGAAAAAAATTTTTGCTTCCACTAAATTTCCAAACAAAATTATTCATAATTTAAATTGCATTCCTTTCAATCATAAAAGTTAAGCTATATCCGTCATATTTAACATTTCACATATTAGTTTTGCTTTTGAATATCCTCCTTACCTTCATCTCTCTTCATATTCTGCATACTTATATACATAGTTTATGGTATGAATTTCAAAAGTATGCTATACTTATTTTTCACGTTTCGCATATACGTACATATAATATAATTTCTAACTATGTTATAGAGATATCGATATTTTATTGTGTAACTTTATGAATAAGTTTTTGTATACCAACTTTTACGTTGATCTGGAATCCTCCAAAGGTGTCCCATAAATATATTATCACCTCGTACAGGTAGACGGAACGACGAAAATAAAATAACTCATCTAAACAAAACAAAACAAAAAGGGAAAAAAAAATGAAAAATTATTCAAATTAAAATTTATATTCGTATAGAAACTTTTCATATAGTTCTTAAAAACACGATGTATTATTTTTTCGATCACGAAAAGAAAGAGCAAATATACCAACTCTTTTATTTATTCAACAGAAGATTAAGAGTTAGTCCATTAGCAACGTATTAACTTTAGACTGTGTCGTAAAACAATGAAAGCAACGAGTATCAAGTTAAACAATCCCATCGTAAATCTATCCCCAGCGTAAACTATGTACTCAAGCATCCTCTTTAGTCTCGTGTTACGCGAAAAATTTCGATTTATTCGTGTGACTTATCGGGGATAATTCTCCTCTTTTCCTGGGCCATAACTATCACGAGAAGCTTGTCGACACTCGGCACACAACCTGTAACATCCAGCATCTTTGAAGGGATGGTAAATGCCCGTTGCAGTCTTCCCGGCGGAGGGCATAAATTTAGCGACAGCTTTAAGACGTTACACAATGAGAACGGACGAATATGGCGGATATTTATTGCGAACATCGCAGTTCGAGATATCGACCACGATTTATCACGAGTAGCGAAAAATATTCAACTTCAAGCGCAATCAATTACTTTTGGCCATTTCCTTATTTCGTTATTAATCATCCTTCTCGTCACAATTCATTTTCTTTCCAAATGTTTTCCATGTATATATTAATTATTATTTTATAATTCTATAATTATATATAATTTTATAATTCTATATAATTATATAATATATAATTTTTTAATTGTATTTTATAATTATTGTTTTATATATTGTTTTATAATCCTAAGCTTCTCCTTCTTCTTTTTGTTAAAATCCTATTTCAATATAGCGATATCGCATGCACTGGCTTATTTTCCTGCGAATTTATAATATATTGTAAATTAATTGCAACAGTTCAACAGTAAATTGAGCCATTAACATATTGAAAGCTGTATTTTAGCTGTAGTTAATTACACGCATACGTATCGTTCGTTGTATATCGATAACCAATACGACTGCAACAACAGATTGTCAATAATAAACACCGAATGAATGTTTTTCTATGGTAGTCGCGATCGTTTAACCATCGTTTAGGAAACAGACTAAATTTCCAAGCAAAAAGCAATCAGTTTTTGCGTGAAATACTCTTGATCCCAATTGCAAGCCTCATTGTTAAATATAGTCCGCTAAGTGGAATGTATTTAAAACGGTTTGTTTTCGAATGATCGGTTCGTTCCGCTCAAGTGCATCAGATTTATTTTAAACGAGCCTTTTTTTTTTTATGCTGGACGTTAATCATCTGATTAACGACACGTAACGTCTATCGTTCATAACCTCGTTTATTTTTCGTTTATTTCTTTGATAATTAATTCGTATCGACAAATGGTGATAAATTGCTGTTATGCTTAAAACACATTTTGAAAATTAGATTCAATATATATATTATGAAAGAGTGTAGTGAATGTAGTTTCTTTCTATGGAAATTTTATTTCTAATTTTCACACAGGATATTTAACTTATTCAAAAGTTGAATGAATGGATGAGAATTTTATGAGATTTAGCTTTTGTTAAGCTTACGCGCATTTTAACAGAGTTACGCGTTGAATGAAAATGTTAAATTCAATTAGTCGATTATTTTATAAAGCTCGCAATTAATAAAAAGAATTTAGATTGATGTGATTAAATTAAATAAGTTAATTACATGTATGAAACGTTAAATCATTAATCGATGATTAAAAAAATATTAATTGTCGTTACTTTGTAGTAATAATTTCATTGAAATGCAATTTGATAGGTAGAGAATTACAAGATTTAATTGTAATTCTATTTGTTATACGAATATGTGTTACATTATACGAAAACTATTTTCAATTGTTACTGGCTTTCGAAACATTTATATCCACAGTATTTGCACAAGCATATTTTAATATACAAAAAAAAATTTATGAAAATTGATTGAATATATTCATACTTTTTATGCCTTCATTTTTTTTTTATTGACAAAATTTTTTATGAATATATTATTTTTATAATAGATACACGAGATAAATTATTCTGTTTTGATATCAACGAATGAAAAGAAAAAAAATTATTAAATTATTACTAAATTCTAAATTTTATCGAAAATACAGTATTTTCGAAAAAAATTCTAAAAATCTCAATGTTTATTGTTAATATATAACATATAAACAGCGACTATGTTATGGTTACAAGGTGAATTATAAATCGATCGATTTCAGCCTTGATTATAAAGCCTTCATTTTAAATATTCCAGTATATTTAGAAAGATAACCTTTACGTTCAGATTTACTCACCGAGTCTGAAGTATGTCCGCATAAATCGAGGACATTCCATTCAAGATCGATTATTTGTATTAATAAATGCAGAAAATCCACGAACAAGAGAATATGATATAATCCTACACTAATAACAGAATACAGACTCAACGATAATGATCGTACGTTAGAAATATTGTTCTCTTTTACAATCTTCTAATTTTCCAATCTTTTACACCGAACAATATTTCAATATTGACTTTACGTATATACCATACCATTACTGCGATTTAATTTTCAAAAATACTATATGAAACATTGAATAAATTTACACGTTTCCCATAATACATAATCCTCAAACGCGTGGAAGAGAAACGAAGTAACCCAAGCTGCTGCGTATATCTATATAGCTTTAGACCATAAAACTAAAAGCGGAGAATCGTCGTTCTCTCCACACCTAATAAAAGAAGTTGGCCAGCGTGGAATAATGAGAGAATGGTGTGGAACAACTCACCGAAACACTTGGTCTGTATCCTCTTATACATCTCCCCGCTGATCTTTCGGTGCACTATCCTCTGAGTCGTCGCCTGATACTTTTTCCTGAAGTTTCTCTCGCTCTCGGTCGACTCTTGCGAGCCCCTCCTCTCCTTCGCCACGCTCTCCCCAACTTCGTCGTCCGTTTCCCTGCCGTCCGGCCTCTTCCACACGTGGCTCTCCTCGAAATCGCCGATGTAAATCCACTCGCTGCTCGTGTACGGCTCCACGTACGTGTCCTCGTCCTCTCGACCTTTTAGACATTAGAACGTATAAACAACGAGTTTTGGAGACAATAAAAAACTTTCCACGAGATAAATTTTCGTGGACGTGTTGTCGTTTCATATCGAGAATGGAAGTTTCTTGAAGATGTGTAGTATATATATATAGGATTTGTTGAATCTTTTTGGTGAATTTATATATTATTCGAAAAATTTTTCTTATTCTTCATTATTTCCAATATTTTTGTCTTGAAACTAATATTCCATGATCGATTATTTGAACAAGTAATACTAAAATTTGAACAAGTAATACAAATTATAGGTTCGAATTTTTATATTTTAATCCAAGCGTATATATCTATAATATATATTTAAATAATAATGAATATTCATTCTATTATTATCGAACTATTTTATTAATACGCAGATGTTTTACGTATTAATGAAGGATAAATGATGTCCGGCTGTTAAATATTTTTTTAAATATTCCGCGTATTTCCTGTACGTGAATGATTTTAAATTTTCCAACAATGCCTTTTATTTACTTTTATTTGCTTTTATAGAAAATTTAGAATAAAGTATTACAAAGTGAATTGATGCACTCTTTCTCGAACGTGTATTCGTGTTATTCGAGCACCGAAATATTATATTTTAAATTATATTTTATGCGTCAACATTTTTTTAATCTCTACTGAATGAATTTTTATTAATTTATAACCAACATATTTATATTTGTTATTTCATTTATCTTCAATTACATTATATTTAAAAACGTTATATATTTTTTTTTAATAATCGTAATCAAAATTTACTAACCGAGCAACCTCGTAAAGCGTGTACAATTTTCTTTCCTAATTTTACATCTCGTTCTTTAATGTTTCTTTTTAATCTGTACTCCGTAGAAATTATTATTCGATCGATCCATAATGAAAACACCGGGTGAATGAAATAGATCTATTAAAAAAAAAAAAATTAACAACATTTTGTTTCTTGATTAAAATCGATCGAATCTTAACAAACGGCCCGACGACTAATCACCTTAAAGGAAGACAAATGATACGAGAGAATCAGGATGAACTTTTTTAATTAATGAACGCCGCGGTATTTCATTAAATTTTTTTTTTTTGTTTTAAATCGCGTTTTCATTAATGTAACTTTTTACAAGGGGGTGATACCTATCCACTTTTATTATTCTCGTTTCATGGATACTTTGTACGCTCATTTACCTTTCATATTCGTGCCAGAATATGAAAGCAGTTAATAAAGTTAACAAAGTTTGTGTAATGTTTTTTTTTCAAATTTTCTTTTTTTTTATCGCAAGAATATTTTAATAATAAAATAAAACGCGATAAGAAATGGAAAAAGTTTCGTTGCAAAAGCTTTTTTAAGTAATCCTTACGTAATAATGATAATTTATCATTTTTTATTGTTGTAACCAGTGATATTGGTAATACCCAAAAAAAAAAAAAAAAAAAATTAAATTAAATTAACTCGATAATTCCAGCGTGTTGAATTCTATTAATCTTAATTATATTTTGAAGAAAATTTCTGGAGTCATCTAACAAGCAAAATTATTAAGAGAGAGACATACGACAAGCCGTAAAACATTCCCTCCAGAGTATTAAGATTTAATACATCCTCTCATGTCCGATTCTTTTCCCATTACTCTTGCACCACGATATATATTACCAAAGCCTTAATCTTCAATATTCTCGTATACAATCCTGGAGATATCCCACGAGATTTCTTAGATCTAATCCCTTCATCTATATCTCTCTAGCAATATTTCACACGTACCAAGGGATAGTGGAACACTCTGTATACGTGTATAAAATTTTATAAAACGTGAATTGAATCAATATATACGATTCATGATTGTGAAAATCACATTCACAACAACTAATATTGTAGATTACCTATAAGATATAATAACATATAATACAATCCATTCTCCAAATTATGCGATTCCAAGATTCTGTTTCGAATCTTTACTTTTATCTAAATTTATTTCTCGTGTTAAAATTCCAGCACAAGCTGGAATAATTCCATTAACATCAATACTTTACAATTATGAACGCTTGAACGTCCATTCACAACTCTTGGAAGTATCAATCTGGAAGTAAACTTCCAAATGAAACTTGATCTTAATTAATCGCAACAATATCAATTGCGAGGAGAAGAAGCCACCCCCTTAAAACATTCTTACTTCGATATTATACCAACCAGTAAGGATCTCCAAGCTGACATCGGTGCTCCTCGCGTGAAGCCTC